GCTGGTTCTTTCTGCAAGTTGGAACGAGATCACAAATGAGGATTTCCACTCGGAGGACGGAGAATCGGGTGCGAAAAACTCACCCGACGATTTGTACTTCCAGCGTGAATGTCGCACCGGCTCCCACTCCTAGTTCATTCATCATTTCAAGAGGACGTGTGCAGAATATGTGGGTTCAGACGAAGAAAAGCGAGGACGAGTGCAGCGAGGGCGAAAAGGAAGAATGCAAAATGGCGTGTGGACGTGAGACGTAAGTTGGACGTAAGTACTATCCCATGACACTTCCAGTGTCGCACCCGGAACAAATAAACGAGTCCAAAAAGGCCGCGGACGCTGTTCGCATTCTGAAGGAACCTCGCGTCTTAGGAGTGTGCAATTATTCAGGTAGCAGCGGTGGGAGAAGGGCGATCAACGTTATTTCAATTTATAGTATGTATGGTAATGTATCCGCCTGGCCTCGAATGCGCTGTCGAGAAGCACCTCCTCGTTGATCCGATTGCGCACGACGGACCCATACAGTAATGGCCACATGTAGTGATCGTGAGTTCCAAGATCCCCGCGAATAAGGTGCTAGGATCCACGGTTAGACGCGTATTATAGTTTTTCCCTACGCACTACTGAATCCTACTATTCTCATTAGAACCCTTGCTGGATCTCGTACTGGAATCACCCTGATCTTCATATAAGGTTCTCGGTTGCCGCAGAGTCAAACGTCCGCCCAATAATTCGTCCATTGCATGTCATCCGGGTAGTTTCCCGCGCAGGCTTCGGCACGCTACCTGCACTAGGTAGGAGTTTCCAGTCTATGCCTGCGACTATCATGACTATTGCCTCAGCACTGGAGATAATCTGAAAGCGAGCTCAATATTGAAATGTGTCAGGGCAGCATTGCTCACTCACCTCACCGGTGCCATCTGCATAAAGTATGAGTCGGTGGTCCTCGAATGCATCCCACAACCATTGTTCGTGGCTACACAGTATGTGTGCTCCGATTAAGAGAGATTGGCCTACGTCGCGCTGGTTGGATGTGGTGGGTGTAGCGCTGCTGGGCATGACATGCGTCTTTGAAGGATGGCTGGCATTCAAGATAGTATCTATATTTGACGTAGGCCAACATGTTCACCATCCATTCGCCGATCACTGGCGAGAGATCCATGTCCTTTCGCGTGCTGAGGTGGGTCCAGGGCTTGTATCAGTCGTCATAGATCAGGAAGGCCTCTTGGCCAATTGGCGTGGACATAAGTCGCAGCACAAGTTCGTGGCCGCACAGTATGTGTGCTCCGACTAAGAAAGACTGTCTCGCTGGTTGGATCTGGTTGGTATAGCTTGGAAGGCATGTCGGATGGATGGTCATTAGGAGTTGAGATTATATCTACATCTGATGTGAACCAACGTGTTCCGGTGGAACACTGTTCGACCGCCGGACAACGACAGGGTCCATTCCGGACCAGAGGACTGACAAAAAGACTAAAAGGATCAGACGATTCGGATGGCGAGATTCCAACCCGGAGTTCTCGCAGGATGTCAGTGTTCATAATTTATCGACACCGGGCGCGCAGCGTGCACTACGTCCAAGTTGCTGTATTTAATGCGTCCCAGGATGGGCCAGAGGGAATCCAAGAGCGTGATTGGAGGTCAAAAAAGACCCAGACAGACACTCCGACACCGAAGGTCCTTTTGAGGATTTGGTCCATAGATACCGTGGTTTCGAGTTGATGTTCTGTGTGTACACAAATCACAGAGGTGCAGGGAGCACCAGAGATCGGACTGAAACGGAAAGCTCTTCGATAAAAACAGGAGCACTGGTGCTGCCGTGTGCATTCCGGAGGAGTCATGGCCCCGCGCTGTGCATACCCCCGCGTCACACCTGAGTTCTATTGCGCGCATACGACGGCTACACTCGCGTGCAATGCACACGAATGCCGCCGCTCCGACTTTGACGGCTCGTTCTGATGCGATTCTGAGGAGATTCGCGGTTCTCTGTCTTGGAAACCAATATGACGCCCAGGAAGCCAGGAAGCTCATAAGACACCCGAATAATGCGACGGTTAGAACGTCGCAAGCTCAGGGGCCATTTTCCGTGCCCCGAGCCACAGAACGGGGCAGGATAATTCTGGTTCTGACTTCTGAGATGAGGTTCCGAAGCAGGGGACCGGGGATGTGAGATCCGATAACTGAGTGTGACGCGTCCCGTGTCCCTTATTTATCGCGTTTAAAGTGGTTTAAAGGTGAAGATACGCTGACACCGCCACTGATGGGTTCCACGCCAGTTATTTGGTTTCGACAAACATTGCACAGCCTCCACTTATCTTCTCATGCCCGCCAGCACTCCCTGGCACTCCCTTCCTCTCGCAGATGAAACGGTCCACGACACAACTCCCGCAGGAGCTCGTCAACCATATTATCGATTTCCTTCACGACTCCCCGCGCGACTGACCCGTGTGCGCCTTGGTTTCCCGTTCTTGGGTTTATGCCGCGCAGTCCCATATTTTCCGAGCCGTTCGCCTCACCTTTCCCCTCAAGAGAAGCGAGCGCAGGTGGGCTCGCTTCCAAAAGATAACAGATGAATCCCCGCACCTCATTCGGCATGTGCACCAGCTTTACGTTTATACCCGGATCTCCACGGACACATTCTTCGCCGTTTGCAGCTTCCCGTTCACGCGTTTGCATGAAGCTGCCGTGACGTTTATCCTCCCAACATCCCCAGAGGTGCTTGCTCTGCAACAGCTGCTGAGCTTGCCTACGCTCCACCGCTTGCAGATAAACTGCATGGATGCGGACCCATTGGATTTTTTCCGGATCTGGGAACGCTGCTCTACTAGCTTGCATCATCTTGAACTTCATGACTGCCGCATCATAAATCCGAGGGCCGCCATCCCACATCGCAGAACAACTCGCCCATCCGACTGGAGAGTTTGCACGTTACGTATAATGTAGATTTCGTGCGTGACTGGCCGACCCACCCCCTGTGCCCCTTGGATTCCCCGGGGCTGATGCACCTCACGACGAGGAGCATAGAATTATTCGGGTCCCTCAATTTGCGCCCGCTATTCGAACTCTCCAGACTCTAGACGCTCCGGCGAGTGTATGTATGCTCTCGCACCTATCTATATCGCGCCTAACTCTCCGATAGAGACAATCGCCCCACCACTCGACCTCTCAACATTCCCCAGACTAACGCTGATGCGCATTACCATTTCTCCGCACCACTGGCCGTGGGTGTTCGCCACTCTCGCTACACAGCCTCTAGTCGTATCCTCACGATCGCACTTGTCGGCGAGTTCAACCAGATGCCCTCGGAGCAGCTCGACACCCAACTGTCTGGTCTCCCTATCTCGCTTACTGCTGCGCTCGAGGTAGGATGTGCCGAGTATGCGCTCATCATCCCAACCCTGCCTCTGTCGAGCTCAAAAAATATGATGCGCTGTCCTTCACGCTGTTTTCGTGACCTTACGCAAAATAATTTCGGTCAGCTACGTCGTATTGATTACAGCGATCACGCTTTCAGTGTAAGCTCTTCTTCGACATTCTGGTCAATGTTTATCCACGATCTGTAGCGCCCGGCCGGTATACTGTGCTAATTCCACTTCCGCACCTCGAATTATTTCATCCCCGTTGTTGTCATGTATACCCAAACCACGCGTAGCATACCACTATCAGCGTTCGAGAGGGGATGAGCTGTGAGCTATTCCCTGGCATCTGGCTTCCAGCTTCCACCTTGTACCCTAATAGACACCTTACAATCCAGCTCCCAAACATCATTTCTCGGCCAGTTGCTGGGGCTTAGTGTCAGATAGTAACTACCTACTTCTCTATCCTTTATCCATGGATCTGCTTCGACCACTGGCGAATATCGACTTCGATTAAACCAACTCCCGGTGAACGCCTTGCTGGTGTGAACCCTCGTATCATGCGCGAACCAAATCTGATACATTGGACATCCACACCCATTGCATTCGCCAAAACATTATTTCAATGATTACGGGCAGGGGACCTCGCACACACAATCCGCTGCGCAGGTGGCATCCGACGTAACTGGCGGCACCCCAGTCGCCGAACACCCGAATGGAATGTCCGTGCACGCAATTTCTTGGTTGAAGCCGCCGGTGCAGATGAGAGTGGGGACTGTTTCGCAGTTGCGTGGCAGCACCTAAGTCGCGGTGATTGATATCAATGGAATACGGAGGCAAGGGATGATATCAAGGCGTACAGAACGGGCATCGACAGCTACTGCGCGTGCGGCCGGGTCAACGACGGGCTGCAGGCGTCTTCAGTGAACGGCTGAGACGCATAGGATAGTGCTCACGTTAGCCGCCGCGACGGCGAGGAACGACACGAGGAGGGCGGTGATCAGATTCATGGATAGAAATCGAGTGTTTGGGGGATTCTCCAGCACCTTCCGGTCCTTGTTATAAACAGTTTGCGGAGGAACCTACGAATGGGTTAGTATGCATCTCATTTAAATACAATGCGGGATTAATCGCGGACCAACTAATTTTTAGGCTGAAACAAACACGGGATGCCGTTGCCGTACTCGTTGTTGGGTATTAAAGTCATCGCCGGCATTGTTGGCAAGGTCTCGGATGATTCGGTTTGCTTGAATTTAATTGTCTATACTGATTCACATCGCTCACAAACGTGGTTAAATGGAGTACCATCGGATTGAGGGAGGGTGGGATGCGGAAGTTACATTGGTCAACGATTTAGACGATCCGAGACATCTTGTGGGGAAATTATATGTATAGATGAAAGTCGTGCTATAGTTGAATATATCCACAAAGTGTATCGTTTGTGTGCCTGAGGATTATGAATCACGAGAACAAGTGGGGCCTGGGCAGCGTGTGATCCGTCTGTAACTTTAACCTGGAATTCCGGACTCCACAAGGAATTCGAGACCATTCCAGACACTGCCATATTTCTGATTCCTGTGATAACTTGACGCTGGATGCAAATTCACTGCGCCAATGGCGCGGAATAAAAATCTCGCTCAGTTAGACGCAAGGCCCGGGCTCGAGTCGAACGAGCGACTCCCGCATTCGAATGCAATTCCACTCTTGTACTTGAAGCAGGCGCGGACCATCCGCTACCGGGCCTTCCTCGATAACCTAATTATTTAAACGGTGACTCGTCGCGGGACGCAACGTGCTGAGATGTACACAACTCCAAACACCAGAACAGAAAGAAATACCCAAGTAAGAATGTGTGCACTTCAAAGAGGAACCCTACCTCCCACGCGAGAAGACGGTGGTTCGGCGAGACTTTGCGGAGAAACAGAAATATTAGCCGATGGTGATTGCCCCTATCTTCTGGACCGGGCCGATCAGTGGCAGTGACACGTCTCTTTCCTCTTTCGACCATCATCACCACTAGCTCTCTGAGCAAGCCCAATCGACACAGCAGCTGCGATCGACAGACACCGGTGCGTACACGGCACGTACTCCCGCAAACTGGGGAGACACACAATACTCGTCACACCTGGCCGGCACAGTGCCTACTGTCCCTCCCGTCCACTCACTGCTCTGTCACGGCCGCAGCCGACTGAGACCCGTGCCGCCCATGCTGCAGGCCAAAACTTCGCGCATACCTGCTACCGCGGTCGCGTGGATGGATTGGGATCTAGAATTCTAGCAGGTGAGTGTTTTGTCTCTGCATCCCTCATTCACCTTTCGTCGGTTCCTTCTCAGTCGACGTCTGGAGCTATCGTCTTCCCCAACCGCGCTATCTCCTACATCTTCCGCCCACCTCATCCCTTCATGATTTCATTCGCCGTCATCCCGCCTCCCGCTATCAAGGTATTACATCTTATTCCACCGGCTCTCAGGATTCATCCACTCCAGCGCCGGCTCCGCACAGATGCTCGACGCGGCCTATCATCTATCCTTCGTGAATGTAATGATTGCTTCATCTGCCCCTGCCATGCACCAGATTCGACTCCGCGGGCCGCATTTTCTATTTCATACGTCTCCAGTGCAAACGACCCCCTGTGCGCGCATGCGTGGTATCTCGTTTACCTGAACACCACTATCTAGTTCTGCTTGTGGCTCTCCTGCACATCATATCGTCCTCGTGTACGGTATTATCTCCTGCGAAATACGTGGCAAGCCTAAGCTGTTGTCTGTAATGTATTGCCTCGTTGTCCTGCTGGCGATTATCGGATGCGGCGCTTGCTATTCTGTCACCGTCCTGCAGCACATTCGTTGTATCTTTCCGGTCGCTTGCATATCCTCTCGTCGTCCTGTGCGGTATTATGCCGCGCTCCGGACGGTATCCTCATTCTCTGCCTGGTATTCCCTCATTCTCCTCTGGAATCCTCTCGTTCTCCTGGCAGTACCCTCTTGCTATCCTACTGGTATCCATGCATCACATGGGTATTCTGTCGCATGCTCCAATACACAGTGCTTCTGAGTCTGTGTGCAAATACTCATCCGGGATGCCATCATAAGATGTGGACTCAGTAAGCATGTCACCGCAGATCAGTCCTCGGTATGTCACGACGGAATGCATCGATTTCCGCCCGCAGAACGGTCGCAGTTGAAAACCGATAAATAAAATCGATAACACAACCGATAGAGTAGGGCAGAATACGATCACGTTCAAAAAATCCATACGAAATCTCTGATGATCAGGGCGATCCACCCGTTCCAATGGACGAGGACTTTGACAGCGGGAACCTGGGTGTTCGACTTCCCCCGAAGGCCACGGCAAGGGGAACCAGGTAATTTTCTCTTTATTGCCACGACCTCTTCCCAGTGGTTACGCCAAAACCTCGACGGAAATGAACAATCTGGGGCCATTTTTTGCTTTTGGGTAAATCAGGTCCAACAAACCCAGGTTCCAGGTTGCGTATAGAAAGCCTTCGAGGATCATGGCGATCACCCCGTTATAATGGGCCGATATCTCTGGTAGCGAGGTAATGGGGGTTCGACTCCCCCCGGAGGCATGAGCAAATAAATGTCAAGCTTTTTTTTTTTTTTGCCGCTGAGCTGGTGGTTCACACCAATCTTTCTGTCCCATGAAGGATAAATAATACTAGAAAGGTTCGGTCTAGACTCAGCTCGGAAGATAACGGGATTGAACCTGGCACAACAGGTTTAGCTTGCTGGAACTCAGCAAGAGCGGGATGAAACCACGTTCAAACCCTGCACAGGAAAGGCCTTCGCAGATCAGCGGTGGTCACCCACTGGCAGTGAAAATATCCAGAAAATATGACGGCGGGACGAGGGGTTCGACTCCCCACGGAGGCATTCGGTGTTAGTCAATGTTTGTTTTTCAACACCAGAGGAAGTGTCGGTTCCGATTACCTCCAATGAAACTATATATACATCCACGATATGGAGACTGAGTTGATCGGAATTAGATATTAGGTGCACGAATTGAGTTGTCAGGTGATTTTTGGTTGGTAAATTGGTGCAGAATGAAACCAGCTTCAAATAATGTGTAGAAAGCCTTCGAGGATCAGGGTGATCATCCCATTCTCATGAGCGATGTGCTGAGAACGATACCGGGAAGATGGAATAGATTTAGCGGCTGGCTCAGCTCTGCAAACGCTTGAGCAATACTTACATAGAATCTGAGCTACTTATATACTAAATTGTCCAATGTAACTAGAATGTTCCATACTATTCTCCTGTGTTCTCCTGTGTTCTACTGACTCTTACTGACTTGTTCTCTGACTCGGTATGACTCGTTACCTCGGCCATGATGCCGGGTTGCCTATTCTGGCACTAACGCCAACAAGAACCCGCACCCCAGGCATTTACTAGCGCTTCTTCAACAGAGTCATAATTACTGTTGCCAGGATAAATCTCGCTCCTAAGGATATCATGAAATCAATACAACGAATACGAAGATGGATATAAGCGCGCACGTCTTCCGGGACTTCGGGGCTGCGAGATGTGTGTGACCCGGATGCTGAATTTATAGAGTAGGATGAATCAGAAGCAGTAAGAAACAGACGACAGAACGTTACCTCCTGGAACCTTTTGCGCTTGAGCGATGTAGCAAAGGATGCGCCTTGCGCCGAGGCGTCTAAGACAATTTAAGTATTCGACGGCGCACCTGTGGGGGGATATTGCGACTCACGGGAACGTGGAGTATTTGGAGCCGCAGAGTGTACGGATCTGCTGCGCTCCTGTTGCGCAACCTCCGCCTGAATGGTACTGACCGTGCGCTGCAGAGTCTTCAAGGTCGCACGTTTGTCGCAAAGGAGCTTTTCTTGATCGGCTGCGACCCTCGCTTGGTCGGCTGCGAGTTTCAGTTGTTCGGCCTCAAAACTCGCGCGTTCCACCCGTAGTATCTCTCTCGCGTTGGCCAGATCCATCCGTCCGGTCGCCAAAACCTGCTTATCTCTCGCCAGAGTCGCCTCGTTCACCTGTGCAGAGGCTTTGAGTGTGGAAAGCTGGGCGCGCAGGGCCGTGCACTGATTTTCCGATTGGGCAATCGCTCGGGATTTATCGCGTAGCTCCGTGTCCCGCTTTACGGCCAAGATGAGGGCCGCAGAAAGCTCTTTCTGCGCGAATGTGGCGGCATTGTTCAGTGCTGTGAGCTGAGTGCGTAAATCGGCTATGACGAGATCCTTTGCACCCAGCTCCGAATCGTGCTGCGTGGAGAGTGCCCGGACCGTGACCTCCAGGGCTGTGATTTTGGCGTTAAGTGCATCACACTTCGCCTCGGACGCGACGAGGGCGGGTGAGGGCTCGTTGCGGGCTGTCACGATGGCGCGGTCCACGGCACGCGCCAGCGCAGCAGCCGCTGCGGAGATTGGGTCGTCGTCGGAAGTTGTTTCCATTTTCATCGACGGCTGTTCTGTTTTCATCGCAGCCTTGGGGAAGCTGGCGGTAAGATGTGGAAACAAAAAGAGGAAGAAAAGACGCTGACGGCAAGTTGTTTCGCCGTGTGGTCCATCAATGTTTCTGCATAGCATGACAAAGCACAGCCACTTCTCCCACGCACACGCCAAAAGTTCCAACCGCCTTCTGATTCCTGAATGATGTTCCCAAATGTGTTGTGGATTCAAGTAAACGTCTCTCAGACTCGACGAGTTACAACGGTGAGAGTCATGATGTCAGATGTGGACAAGACTTGAAGACATCCATGAACCAAGGGGTACCCGCTATTAAAATTTGCCACACAGGGTCGGAAAAGTGCATTAACACCTCGCAGACCCTACCTACCTATTAGCCGAGCCCCATCGGGTAATTTCCCACGCAATTCCTCCCCGAAATGACATTTTTGGCCGCAATACGACCCTTATGAAGAGTGAATTTGCAGTGAAGCGGCACCCAGAGTGGAATCCGACAATGACCGACCTCGTTTTGACACCTTTTTGAGCTTGCCGACCCCTTCAAAAATACTAGATTTTTTTCAACCCTTCAAAAAGCATTTTTAGAGCAGTCTGAGCAAATTCCGAAAAGTGAAATAAGGTCTCTCGAAGGGTACCTACCCTATGACCCTGTGTCTCGGGATCTTCCGGCGGGTACCCCTTGCCATGAACTTCGGACGGGGCACCTCAACCTTGCCTCAACCGAGGTTCGTCATCAAAATCTTTTCGATTCCCTCAAAGCAGGCAGAAAATAATTAACATACTACATTGCGATATAATCGCCGGATTCAGTATTTACAGGGCATCTTTTAGTCGAACGACCAAGTAACGGGCGAAAGCGAAGTATCTTCCGGGAACCCAGCCAAAGCAGCGAATGCAGTAGGGCTGAGGGCAACATTCTCCGTTCCAGCACCGTCGTCGTAGATGCCACTGAAGATAGCCGTGACGGTCTTGCCTTCGACTGGGGACGTTGAGGGATTTTTAAGAGCAGAGCAGAACGGATGGAGTGGAATACACGTACAAGACAGAGTGACGGCGTCATTGCAGCACACAGCTGATCCAACCAGCGCGCTGGGGACAGCGATAGCGTAGGGGCCGTTAAAAGGAGGGCAACCACAGTTGGTTGTTCCATAGAATCCGAGATTGGCTGAAAGTTCGATGAGCGTCACCATAGCGGGGGCAGAATGTGGGCCATACCTGTACCAGTGAAGGCGTTGCTAGTGCCAAAGAAAATGGCGGTGCTAACGGCGGCGAGGAGGGACTTGGTGAAAG